TGACATTGAGGAAATGGGAAAGTTGAAGAAAGTTCTAGCCACAGAATTTGAAGTGAAGGATTTAGGGCAAATGCGATACTTTCTAGGGATGGAGGTAGCTAGATCAAAGAAGGGGATTAGTGTTTCACAACGAAAATACACCCTTGATCTCCTGACCGAAACGGGCATGCTAGGTTGCAAACCAAGTGATACACCTATTGAAGCTGGAAGAAGAACAGAAGATGTTGGGAAGCTAGTGGATAGGGAGAAATATCAAAGATTAGTCGGCAAACTAATCTACCTGTCACATACCAGACCAGACATAGCTTTCGCAGTAAGTGTAGTAAGTCAGCACATGCAATCTCCAGAAAAAGCACACCAGGAAGCATCCTTCAAGATCCTAAGATATCTAAAGGGATCTCCAGGGAAAGGCTTATTATTCAAGCCAAGTGAACAAAATTAAGTGGCAACATTCATTGATGTTGATTGGGCCGGCTCCACAAAGGATAGAAGATCCACGACAGGATACTGCACCTTTGTATGGGGAAATCTGGTCACTTTGAAAAGCAAGAAACAAAATGTTGTAGCAAGGAGCAGTGTAGAAGCAGAATTCAGAGCTGTTGCTCAGGCAATATGTGAAGGATTATGGCTGTGGAGGATATTGGAAGAACTACAAGCTGAATTAGAGTTACCTATCAAGCTGTACTGTGATAATAAGGTAGCGATCAATATCTCACTCAACCTTGTCTAGCATGACAAAACCAAACATGTGGAAGTTGACATACACTCCATTAAAAGGAACTATATGCATGACATATGTCCCTGCTAAGGAGCAGATTGCAGACACATTTACCAGAGGACTACCTCGACAACTATTCAAGGATTTCATTGGCAAGTTGGATATGATCAACATCTATGATCCAACTTGAGAGGGAGTGTAGAAATCCCTAGAAAACTACGGATAGTAGTCATCGTGGCAACATAAGCAAAGGTCTTGTAGAAATCTCTACAGGTTAAGAGTCATATGTAATCCCTATAATTAAGGAATGATTATTGACAGTCTTATTTTATTTTTAGGCATGTAAAGAAGGGTGGTGCTGGTCAACAGGGATTACAATGATTCTTGTATATTCCTTTATCGTAGGATTTTATTTCCTTAAGTTAACTGCTGGATACAGGTATATAATAGGGCATATTGTACAATTTAATTGTATTGTATTAAAAATATAAAAGCAGTTTCCTCACAACTTTCAGGTCTCCTCATAATTAATACCATACTCCTGTGAGAAACCTTTGGCAACTAGACGAGCTTTGTAGCGCTCAAGAGAACCATCAGAATGAGTCTTGACCTTGTAGACCCATTTGCAACCAACCAGATTCTTACCAGCAGGCAAAGGAACCAATTCCCAAGTATTAATTTTCTATAAAGCAGACAACTCATCCTCCATAGCTTGAATATAATGGGGATCTTGACAGGCCTCCTTGTAAGACTAAGGTTATGAAACAGAATGAATAGCAGACAAAAAAGTACGATATGAAGTAGAAAAACATGTATTAGACAAACCCAACCTGTTTGGAGGATGATGCGCTCAAGTAGGATATTAGTGTGCAGTACGATTAGAGTCGTCAGAAGTAGGAGGAGCAATAATAGGAGTAGAGACAACTGGTGAAGGAAGAGGCTGACGACGAGAATAAACTAACAGCGGAGGAGGAGTAGGTAGGGAAGAAGGAGGAGAAAAGGGAGCAAGGTCATGGGGAACAGTAGAGATGTACCTCAGAAGGAAATGGATCAATGTGAACCAAATCCTCTTTGGAAACCGGAGCAGTGATAGGAGGAAGCTGAAAGTAAGGCAGACGCTCGAGAAAAGAAACATGATGGGAGACATAAAGATGATGAGAAATAGGGTCGTAACACTGATAGCCTTTCTGAGTAGGACTATAACCCAAAAAGACACAAAGAACAGATTGGGCACTAAGTTTGGTTCAATCTTTGTGGGGAAGAAGGACAAAATAGTCAGACTCAAACACACGAAGGAGGGAGTAATTAGGAATTTGGGAGAACAAAGCCTCATAAGGAGACTGAATAGAAAGAAGGGGAGTAAGCATGCGGTTGAGAAGAAAAGTAGCAGTAAGAACTATCTCCCTCCAAAACAGAGCCAGAACTAAGGCAGAGAGAAAAAGAGACCTAGTTGTCTCAAGGAGATGACAATGTTACGCGCTGCTCAACCATTTTGGACAGGTGTATTTGTATAAGAAGATTGGTGAATGGTACCGAAATTGGCTAAATACTCACAGAACTCATTTTTAAAATATTCTCCTTCCAAGTCTGACTGTAACACTTTAATTGTAGACCCAAATTGAGTAGTAATCATAGACATGTATGGTATATTTGATAGAAATCGGACTTATGAGTCATAAGATAAACCCAAGAATAACGGGTGCAGTCGTCAACAAATGACACAGTATGCAAGACCCTTTTGGTGACAACAAGAGAAGGGCTCCAAACATCAGTATGAACTAAAGAAATCGGAGTATCAGATATAGAAGTACTTTTGCGAAAAGGTAAGATTGTTATTTTGACAAGTTTACACCCCCAACATTCAGTAAGTTCACTAGGAGAAACTTTACCCAATATACCTGATTGAGCTAAAGACCGTAAGCGGTCAACAGACAAATGTCCTAATCTAGAATGTAACAAGTACAAAGGACTGGACAAAGAATTTAACTGAAAAGAGGAAAAAGCAGTCGGAGAGGTTGTCATAGGCAGATGCAAGCTTTCTACTACATAGAGGTCTCCAACTCTACGGCCAGTCTCAATCTGCTGCTTGGACATCCGATCCCGCACAGAACAGATAGAAGAAGAAAAGATAACATCAAAACCGTAGGCATCAAGCTGACTGATAGATAAGAAATTGACAGATAACTGAGTAACATAAAGGACAAATGGAGTAGAGACATCAGACATAGCAGACGGTAAGACAAACCAAACAGATATAACAAACATACCAACCCATTAGCAGTATTAACAGTAATAGGAAGAGGAGGGAAAGGGCATGTGAAATCATATAATTGTGTATATTTTTTGTCATATATTTAAATATTATATATTTGTTCTATCTCAAATATTTATTCTTATCAAATTCATCAACCTTGAGAATGCTACTTCGGTGGGAAAAAAAAAACTAAAGAAAAAAATATGGTACACCATATGTCCCCAACGTGTCTCCAACATGTCTACCATGTGTTCCTAGTGTGTTTGAAGCATGTTCGACATGTGTTCGTGTCCAACATGTGTCAGACACCCCCGTATGTGACTGACGGAGAGGTGTGCTCTTATGGCTCTCACCAATTTGGATGCATCATAACTTTGCATTCATAACTTCTACAAGTATAATGGGAAGTTTTCTATAGATGTATTTTAGATATTTTCTTTTTTTGGTGGGGGCATCATGAAATTCTAATGATATGTTGTGGGGACTAGCCAAAACGTATATGGTTGAAGGGGTGCATATGAAATTTCATGCCAATGGAAAAAGAACTTCTTGTTGAGGTAATATGACATGCTTATTTGACCAAGACCCTTGGATTAATGGTGTATCTATTTTTTGTTAAAAGGTGTGCATGTTGGTCTTACCATGAAAGCTGGTTTAGTCACTATCTATGAAGCACGGACACGGACACGGACATGGACACGGGACACAGCAAATTTTAAAAAATAGGGACACGAGCACGGCAGGGGACACGGCAGATTTTTTAATTTTTTTATAAATATTTTTATTTTAATACACATTAATTATTTTATTTATTTATTATATTTTTTAAATAATATATTTCAATTAATTTTTTTTATTTATTTTACATACATGTGTTTATTTATTTTTATTAATATGTATAAGTATATATTATCTTATAATATGTATTATATATTATCTTATAAATATATTATATGTATATTAACTATTATATAATATAATAGTTATATAATAATAATAGTTATATAATAATATAATAATTATTACACAATTATAATAGTTATATAATAATAACTAAGTAATGTCATCTTTATAACTATTATAATAATAATAAATGAAAGTAAGTATTATTATTATATAATAATAATAGTTATATTATATATATATATATGAATCAGAATGAATCAAGAGAAGATATGAATCAAGTCAAGAGATAAAACGACAGTGAGAGAGAGAGAGAGAGGGAGAGAAGTGAAGCGATTGATCGCGATCGCGATCGCAAGGGAGAGAGAGAAGGTGAGAGAGAGAGAGCTCGTCGAAGTGGAAGGGCGACTGGATCGTCGAAGTCGAAGGGGATGGAGGTCGAGGTCAACGGTTTACGGTGGTCAAAGTCATGGAGGTCGACGGCGAGTTGACTGGATCGAAGTCCAGGTTTGTTTCAAGACCTTCACTCTTCTCCTTTATTCTTCTTTTTTGCTCTTTGTGTCCAGATTTGGACACGCGTGTCCAGATTTGGTGCACACGCGTGTCTCCGCCGTGTCCATTGAAAAAAAATAAATAAATTAAAGGGACACGCCACCCGTACGTGTCCACGGCGTGTCCCCGTGTCAGACACCGCCACGGCATGAAATCTGCCGTGTCCATGCTTCATAGGTCACTATTGGAGCCACAAAAAACTGTTTTTCTTATATAGACATTTTGTTGTATATTAGCTTTAATTTTGATGATGTATTGCAGGTTTCATTTTCTTGTTGCTTGCATGAAATTTTAAGATAGTATACTTTATTTTTATTTCAGAAAAAGTACTTGTTTTCCTCTGCTTTTTCTTTGTCATCAACTTGCAAATCAGGCATTTCTTCTTCTCTCAACTGAAGTGGTACTGTTCAGGACACCTTAAGTGTTTCAATATTATATTATATTTATTTATTTTTATTCTATGTGCATTATCTAAAATAGCTGTACTACTCATATTTTCATACATTGGTAACTCCTTTCCTTTTAATAGCTAACACTGGAATTCTAGCCTGATGTTTCTAATCTGTTCTATAGATCACTTACGACAATGGGGAGGTTGAAGTTTTCAGCTTGGAGACTGAAAACTGGGAGACCATAAGCAATGACTTTCTACAGGAAAAGGTATATAAAAATAATGCATGTTGCCTGCTTTCTTTTAGTCCCATGGGGCTGAAGACCAATGTTCTAAAACTATGGAAGGCCAAATTCCTTCCTATGATTTTCAACTCCACTAATGACCAAGGAACCAAATATTATGACTTTGAGTCAGTAAGGTCAAAATCTTGTATCAATTTCAATTAGTTGAAGTTATCTGCTATTGAATTCAATCAATGGGCTTGGAATTATGCTTCATGGAATTCCATTTGCTAAATTTTCTATGAAAAATTTGACCGTTAATGATTTTGTGGATCTATTGCCTGAAAAAGATGTAATGTTGATGCAGGAGTTGGACAGTTTTACTTCACAACACTGGTAAGTTGTATATCTTCTCCCATTGAATTGTTGGATATGAAAGGGCATCCTTATCATATTGTTCAACTAAAATATTTGAAAAATTCTGTATGGTTATCTCACATGGTTGCCACTGGATGGTTGAGTCTTGCTCATGTCCTAAATTCTAGCATTAACAGTCACGAGAACTGCTCCTAATTTTATATTTTCTGCATTTCACATTATCAATCAGAGCTAGCTTAGATCATTGACTATGTTATGGCTGTCTCACATGGTTGCCACTGGATGGTTGAGTCTTGCACATGTCCTAAATTCTGGCATTAACAGTCATGACAACGGCTTCTAATTTTACATTTTCTGCATTTCACATTATCAATCAGAGCTAGCTTAGACCATCAGCTATGTTTCTATTCATATAAATTATAACTGATATATCTCCAGTTTTATTTTATTTTATTTTTATTTTTATTTTTATATAACCAAACCTATCTTATTTCATATTGATGCACAACACGTAACAACATGAAAATTTGAGTCGGTGAAATGATTAATATGTGATGTTTAAATGTGTTGATAATTCATATTGACTTGTTAAATGATGTTTATGGGCTTGTAGTTGTTAAATTGTCTTGTTACTACAAATAGCATTTCGTTTCAAAGTGGAGTCCACAGATAATGCTTATTAGACTTTTTGTCCAATTTAAATAGAAATTGAATGGCAGTGTCTTTTGAAGGCTTGATTGACTTCATTGTTGAGAATCATTTGAAAAATATGAATATAAAATAAGTAGTAAAGAATTTACTACAACATTTGGTGGGGACATGACAATATATATTTTTTTATATTTGCTATGTAGATTAATATTACATCCACAAATAATCAAAATTAACAAACACTGGCACTAATTCAATATATATAAATAACTCATCACTCTTAAGTTAGCTTTTATCATTTATGTGTTTTTTATGAATGATCTATTAATTATTTAAATCAAAGCAAAATGTAATAATCATTCTGTTGGAATTAGAATTAATTAGAATCAATTAGGTCTTATTTATGGCCATTGTTTAGGCCTTGATTTTGTTTTCTCTTACAGTATTTTCTATCTTGTAAATCTCTATCAGTATATAATATATATACACAGGGTAGTCTCCATTTTAGCTAAACCATTCTATTCTCTTCATTCTTTATGGTATCAATGTCTAAGAAAAAACCCTAACTGCCTCCTTCTCTCTTCACCCGACAGCCCTAACCCATCACCTCCGGCTGCCTTTTTCTTCCTCCCTAGCCATCGACAGCCCTTCCCAGTCTCTCTCTTGCAACCGACAGCCCTACCCAACCCTCTTAAACCCTTTGCCTAGGCCACCCACCACCTGGGTTGAGGCTGACAACCATTCCTAGGCTGTTTGATAGTCCTTTTTTAGGCCGATAGCCCCTCTAGGGCAGTTCGGCAGGTTCTGTCCCGCTTTTCGGGACTTGGTGCTGATGTGGTAAGCCTTTTTCCTACGTTATTTTTATTGGTGGGCTACCGGCTTGTTCGGTAGCACTTGTTGGATTAGTTACACCGTGTGTTCGGTGTGTTCTGTGATTTGTGTATCGTTCTATATTGATAACTATACAAATCACTTGTTTCTCTAGTAGCCACCATGACTGAGTCTTCATCTGATGTTTCTCTAGATTTTTCTCTCTCACATCATTATCCTGTTTATCGTATCACGAGTGGTGCTGAATGGGAAAAATTTCGTTGCCTGGAGTCATTAAACTTTATTTAAAGGGAAAGGGAAAAACTCATTGGCTTTCATCTGTCACTACTCAACTAGACACTATAGATTCTACACGTGGTCAATGGGATATTGATAACTACACTATCTTGGGATGGATTTTCAATTCCATAGAGGATTGGATTTATCATATGTTCCTGTATTGTGATACCGTTCTTGGTTTATGGTGCACCTTATCTCAGATGTATGCGCATGCTCATAATGATGTTCGCATCTTTGAGCTCTATTAGGATATTGCTCGTGCTTCTCAGTCTTCTTTGGGTATGTGACTGAATTCTTTGGGTATCTTCAGGCACGTTGGGAAGAGTTGGCTCAATATGAGCCTTTAACCAATCTTCCAGCCGAGGCGACTTCTCTTGTGACCAAGCGTCTTGCTCGGCTGCATACATACATTTCTTGATGGGTTTAAACTCTGAGTTTGAGTCTCTTCATATTCAGATTTTAAACACATCTCCTTTGTCTTTCCTTCATGAGGCCTTTGCTATTATTGATAGCGATGAGCGCTACAGCCGGTTGGTTCAGCCTGTTTTCACTCTAGTTCCTGAGCCTCCTGTCACCTCTAATCAGATGGCTCTTGTTGCATAGTCTATGTCTCGTCCTGCTACTAGGAAGGTAATTTGTCATCATTGTGGAGAACCAGGCCACGCCAAGGCTACTTGTTTCAAACTCCATCATGAGTTGCAACAACGTTTTTCTTGTCCTTGTCCATCCGGTTCCTTCCGCACTGTTGCTGTTGTGGAAATTGTCCCGAGTTCTACTACTCTAGATTTGCATCTTCTTCAGACTCAGATTGGTCAGCTTCAGGGTCATCTTGGTTCTATGATATCTTCAGTGCCATCATCCTTGACTGCCACTTTGGCTACGGGTACTCCTACTACTTTCCATGTTTGCTTTGCACATGATAGGTGAGCTTTCCTACCTTTTTTCTCCAATTCTTGCTATAGCCCAAATTGTTTGTCTTGTTGATGGTTTTACTACCTCTGTTCGTCATTGGGGTGGTGTTACTCTATCTCCTAATATTACTCTTTACTCTGTCCTACATGTTCGTAATTTTGCGTATAATCTTGTTCTGTGAGTCAGCTTGCTAGGGCCTTTCACAGTGCTGCCATTTTCTTACCCAATTCTTGTTACAGGATCTGAGTTTGAAGAGGATTTTTGGCAAGGGATATGAGCGTGACGGTTTATACTACTTTAGAGATCCACCAGATTAGCCGCTTCTTTCTAGTTTTTCCGCGTTTGTGTTACCTGAGGATTTATCCTCCTATGTTTTTTCTTTTAAGACTTTAGCATTGTGGCATGCTTGTCTGGGTCATGCAAATTTTCAGCATTTATGTTTATTATTTCCAAATTTTAATAAAGCTTGTAAGATCATAAGTTTCAATGTGATGCGTGTGAGTTAGCTAAACATTGTACTACTTATATTCCTCGTATGCATCGTGCTCCTTCTGTGTTTGATCATATTCATTCTAATGTTTGGAGCTTTTCACCTGTTATTACTGCTTTGTCTGGCCATAGATATTATGTGACCTTTATAGATGACCATATTTGGTGTACTTGGGTTTATCTTATTAAGCATAAATCTGATGTCTTTCACACATTTGTTCAGTTTCTTCAGATGGTTAAAACCTAGTTTCACATTGTTGTTTGAAATATTAGATCTGATAATGGTGTGGAATACATCTCTGATGTTTTTTTGTTCCCATCTTAATTAGGCCAGTATACTTCAACAACTTACTTGTCCTAATACTCTTGAATAAAATGGGATTGCTGAAAGAAAAAAACCGTCACATTATGTCTGTGGCTTGTTGTCTTTTTAGAGGAATGAATGTAACTAAGTCTTACGAGCATAATGTTGTTCTTATCGCAGTTTATCTTATTAATCGCACTCCTAGTCGTGCCTTGCATGGTCTTGCCACTTTCCAGGCCTTACATCTTACTATGACTCTCTTTCCTCTCCTACCTCGGGTTTTTGGGTGCACTTGTTTTGTTCAAAACCAGAGCCCTACTCGCACAAAGTTAGATGATAAGGCTATTGGATATATCTTGGTAGGGTATTCTACTATGTCCAAAGGGTATCAGTGTTATGATCCTAGCACTCGTAGGTACTATCATTCTTGTGATGTGACGTTCCATGAAGAGATTCCTTTTTTTGGTACTCACCCTTCTATGTTGGATTCCTCTTTCACTCTTGTTCCATTTGTGGACTCTGATGTTTGGCGTCTTCCCATTTTTGATGAGGTTGTGGCTATCTCTCTTGAGGTTGAAATTGAGGCTCCTTTTCCTCCTCCATTGCAGGTATATTCTTATCGTCCTTGTCTCCTACAAACATCATTTTCGATACATGCATCAGGTAATTCTTCTGCTTTGGTCATTGCTTATTGTCGTAGCTCTCCTCATAATAGACATCTCCCTAACCATCTTGGTTATCTTTGCAGTATTAATCATCCTATTTCTAGTATCTTTCTTATGACAGTGTCTCCCCTGCCTATCGTTTCTTTCTTGGCAAGCTGGAGTTGGAATCTATTCCCCGTTCTGTGTTAGAAGCTCTTCAGAATTCCAAGTAGGTGGCTGCTATGCGAACAAAGATGGCATCTTTGGAACAGAATTAGACTTGACAACTTGTTTCTCTTCCATCTGGTGAAAAGACGGGTGGCTGTAAATGGGTGTTCACTATTAAGTATCTTACAGATGGCACTGTGGATGGCTACAAAGCACGATTGGTTGCCAAGGGCTTTACTCAAGTTCATGGCAAGGATTTTGGGGCTACCTTTGCACCGATTGCCAAGCTTACCTCTGTTTGGCTCCTTATCTCTTGTTGCCTCACATTTTTGGCCTCTACATCAGTTAGATGTGAAGAATGCCTTTCTGCATGGAGACTTACTTGAGACTATTTATATGGATCCTCCACTCGATTTTCGAGTTCAGGTGGAGTATGCACGAAAAGTTTGTCGGCTGCGCAAGTCCTTATATGGGCTTAAACAATCTCCTTGGGCCTAGTTCAGTCACTGTAGAAATTTAATGTATAAAGAGAATTGTATTATTGATTGTTATGCGCAAGTCCTTATATGGGCTTAAACAATCTCCTTGGGCCTAGTTCAGTCACTTTAGTTCTGTTATTTTATCCGTTGGATTTGTTCAGTGCCATTCAGATCATATTTACTTTATTCGCACGACTCCCACTAGTCTGTGTATATGAGAATGATATCATTCTTACAGGTGATGATTTAGTTGGCGTAGCTCAAGGAAAGAGGGATGTGAGTCAAGCATCCTCTGAAATACTTTCTGGGTATTGAGGTTGCTCGCTCGCGTCGGGGGATTTTGTTGTCCCAAAGGAAGTATGTTCTTGATCTTCTACAAGATGCTGGGATGCTATGGTGTAAGCCAACTTTTACTCCTATGGATCCTAACCTCAAGCTTACGTCAGAGTCTGGCGAATTACTAAAGGATCCAGGCATATATTAGCGTCTCGTTGGCTATCTCACATACTTGACTAATACTAGACGCGACTTGACTTTTGTGGTTAGTGTTATAAGTCAATTTATGCATGCACCTCGTGCAGAGAATCTTGATGCTATTCATCATATTCTGCAGTATTTGAAGACTTCTCTTGATTTGGGATTATTTTTCAGAACTGATCATCAATCAGGGCTCTCTTGTTTCATTGATGCAGACTATACAGGGTTTAGAATTGATAGACGGTCTACATCTGGTTTTGTTCTTTTTATGGTGATCACCTTGTATCATGTAAAAGTATGAAACAGGCCGTTGTTTCTTGGTCTTTTGCTGAAGTTGAGTATTGGGCAATGGCATAGGATACATGTGAAGTTTTGTGGATTCGCTTCATTCTTGTAGAATTAGGATTTGCTGAAGATGCTTCCTCTCCTTTGTTTTGTGACAGCAAATCAGCTGTTATGTTATCCTTTGATTCAGTACTTCATGAGTGGATGAAACACATTGAGGTTGACATACATTTCATTTGAGAAAAGGTTCGGACTGGTATTGTGAGTCCATCCTTTGTCTCTTCTTTTAAGTAATTAGCTGATATGTTCACAAAGTTTGTTGGTCCAACATTACTTCAATCATCCATTGTCAAGCTGGGTTTGCTGAATGTCTTGCACCAGCTCGACAGGGAGTGTTGGAATTAAAATTAATTAGAATCAATTAGGTCTTATTTTATAGTCATTGTTTAAGCCTTGATTTTGTTTCCTTTTACGTTGTTTTATGGCCATTGCCTCCAAGGTTCAGGGATCGAAACCTTTTAGGTGTTAACAATTCCTTGGGGCCATCGGGTTAGGGGAAAACCCTTGAATTAATCATGGTTCACTTGCGGGAAACTCTTTGCCAAGGGCCTGTGTACCCTGGGGATTAGTTGGGCTTAGATTCGGACACCCTAGTGCCAATATATATAGATATATATATATAAAAAAAAATGTCTCCTGAAAACAAATTAATTAAATAAAGGAATATGCCATGTGATGTTTCCTGTACGTGTCCTCTCTGTGTCTGACACCGCTACGGCATTTGTTTTGAAGTGTCGGGTTTCATAGCTTTTCCTATTTAGCTTTTTCATTCCCCCATTTTTCCATCTTTCCATGTTAAAAAGTACTGTAGCATATCGCTTTGTAAGAGGCACAAAGAATATAGTTTGTATGTTATATCAAATCATATATATTTAGTTTTCAAATAAGTAGAAGTAAACCATTTATTATATTGCCTAAGATTCAGATGTCCACTGTTGCTCCTGTTGGACATATTAATTCTTTTAGGGCAAGAAACATCATTGGAAACTCATACAAACCCAACTAATGTACCACTTCCCCCGAAAAGAAACTCCAGTTTGAATCTGCTTGCCTACCTATCATATATATATATATTATATATAAGAGGTTACTGAAAGAAGTTTAGGGTAATTCTGTTATTAGTTTTAATGTTATGTCATCATTGTCATTAGCGTTAAGAAAAAGTCACCAAATCTAATGTTTAAAATATGATCTACATCTTGTCCTGATTGGTTTGGTGGTGGACTACAGTATGTATGTTTGTGTATTAATCCAAGTTTTATTTTGTTAGACTACAAAATTTGCTTCAATAATTTTCTGATTTTAGATTCATTCAGGTTGAACTATCGATGAGCATTACATGAGACAAAACTTTGCCAGTTTTCCATTTTTGAAATGCATGGCAATCCTGTTCATTAATATTTCCTGACAGTTAAAGAGTGAACTAGGGTGATATGGCAATGGTCGTAATGAATTTGATGAACATGAAATGAGGTTTGATCTAAATTTTACATAAGGAATTTCTAAGATCCCTGCTTTTAGCTAATTTTTGAGAGGCACTTATATATTTGCAGGGGCCTCGGTATGTGCACTCACTCTTAACTCACTTGAAAGAGTCGATACTGTGGATTCGTGATCTTTAAGTTTTTCTGGAGTTGATATATATGAGCCTTTGTGCCTTGAGAAACTGGTTCTCTCAATTAGCTTGATTAGATTTCCCTTTTTTGGGGGCATAACTAGTTTCTTTGCCATTTGACAGTTCAACATGAGAACTTCACTTGATAATAACCAACATTTAAATTAACAGTGAACACCATCTTTTGGGTTTGCGTAGTAAGGCATCTTTATTTTCTTTATCTAGTAAGGTAAGGTGCTTTAAGTGATTAAAAGGAAATTATTCGGTGATTGATCTGCAAAGTGAATAAGTGATTTCATTTTGTGCATATGTGAAGAATGACGTAAACAAATGCAAATGGCTAATTCCTAAATTTTCTTGTTTTGTTGTTTCCACACATTCAATCTTGTGACTGACATGGCTTGTTGCAGTGATTTTGTTAATAGTCAAACAAAAATGGTTGATGCACTTCCGGATGGCGTTTGCCAAACAAAAAACTTTCAAAGTAAGGGAACGAGCTTTTCCAAGAGAAGAATATCTATGCCTGGTAAGAGTCTATCATTCAAAAAGAATTTTATGTTCTTTAAGTTGTTTTTTACAACTTAACAGAAATTGCCAGTTTCAGGTCATGCAAAAGCCTTCACTTTGCCAACATTGAAATTATATTATTCTGTTGAGCTTATGAATGATGGTATCATCAGTGAATGGTGGGCTAAGAAGCACAAACACTTTTATGAAGGAGGTGTGTTGTGTCAGATTTTCGTGTTGGACACCTTACTCTACGGACACTCCTAAAAGCATGCCCTGACATTTCTTTAATGTGTCTTGATTAAAATTTTAAATGTACAGTTTCGGACATTTGATAGACACTCGGCGACACCATTTCAACTCTCCAGACATGACATATATATGAATCTCTTCATAGTAACAATGTTTGCATTCTTCGGAATGCAACTTGTGTACTCTAAATATGTTTTGAAATATTTATAAGATGAATATAGCATGTGAATTTCAATGTTTTACAAGAGCATGAAATTGTTACGTGAATGATAGTTTGATATTTAAGTTGTGGACTATATTGCTTTTTAGTTTTATTTAGTGTTATGTTGTTTTTTCATTTTATTACCTTTTAATAAACTATTTATATATTTGACATAAAATAAAAAATTTAATGTGTCTCAGGTGTATTGTGTGCTGCATTTTTTGAAAATCGTTTTGTGTCGTGTCACGTATCTGTGTTTGTGCTACTTAGCTAGTGTCAATAGCTGCTGTACCAATAGAGCTATCATTATTTATCAATCTCAGAAAGAACTCTTTTTCTATTTTCTTAATTTTTTTAAAAAGTTTGAATTTCTTTGTTTTGTCTTAGGACCAGACCTTTGTTGTCATAATTATTAAGGTCCTTTCATATTCCATGCGATGATTTGTTATTCATCCAGGCATATATCCATTGTTGTGCTTTGTTGCTTCTTCTACTTTCCTTCTTTCTTTCTTTCTTTTTTCTCTTTAATTCAGGAAGTTTGGTGGAGTTCATATTTGACATTTTTTTCCCCACAATCTGTGCCAAATTAATTATCATTTATATATATATATATATATTCTCCTTAGTGCTATGTTTGGTGGACTGCCTGTTTGATATTTTTCTGCGCAATCCATCAAATTGATTATCAGCTATAGCTTCTATGTTGAATATGGAATTTGGACATTTCATGAACAGGAAAATTAGTGTGTGAGTGTGAGAGCACTGTGATGTTTCTTTTGTAATCAATTGAGTTTGTTGGTTTTCTTAGTCCTTGAAAGGGCAGATTCCATTAATTTTGCTGATGATTCACCTGAAGTCTCCATATTATGCTATCAATTTGTCTCTATCTGAAAGTCATACCATGAGAATTATTTGTTCTGTTTAGGCATTCTAAACAAGTTATAGTAACTTGTACTACACTTCCTTGTGGTTGTTCTGGTTGTTTAAGGATAATTCTGTAATTTCTTGGTGCAGGGAAGGAGAACAAGAGGCATAAAGTTTCAATGGATACATCGACATCAGAAGTTATTAATGTGAATGAGGAAGCTGTAAGAATAAACTTTTCCATTTCTCTTTCATTTCTTTTCACTTACACTAAAAGTTGGATTTTTGAAGCTTCTTCTTGTGAGAATATATTTGTCTATATTGTCTATATTTTTAGGAATTATTGTATTTTAGGAATTTGGAATGGTTGTGATTATGTAAATATTTTGTGTAATTCGTATTTCCTTTTTAGGCTTAGGGATTAGAGTTTTATATAAGTGATGTACTCTTTGTATCAATTATTCAGTTGAATATATAGAAATAGTCAGAAACTTACATGGTATTAGAGCTAGGGTTTCATTCGAACTCGTTGGTTGAAGTCCTCTCTGTGTCGCGAAGGCCTTCTCTGTGGTTCTTCGTAGTCACGACATCCTTCTGATCTCTGGTTTGAAGTTGTGACCCTCTACTTTGGTTGGTCATCTTTCACTCTCTCGCAAGGGTCATTCTCCCTTGCGTAAGCCTGCTCTCCCTTTGGTTCAGCATCGCGACATCCTGGTTCATGATCTCTCTCTCTCGTCTCGGCTTCAGGTTCTCTCTCTGATTGATATTTGTGGATGATTGGGTCAAAACTCTGGTTATTATAATTTTGACCTAACTAGGTTCTGGTTATTATAATTTTAACCTAACTGGTTCTAATACACTTCATTTAAGCCCTTTATAATTTTTCATAATATCGTCACTGACATGGGTAAGCCCATAAAGATTATAGCCCACTGTTTAGGGCTCAATACATATCCCAAATACTAAAGCCCAGCACTGCTAAAGCCCCATATAGACTTAAGAACCAGTGACATCATGACACGTGGCGAGAGAAGGGCAAGCCACATCGGCAGATAAAGATCTGCAAAGTTATCGCCATGGCACATTGCCATCAGTGAGGCCCCTTACAGCATTTATTGCGATAACCCCTCTTCGTCGGGACAACACGCCCTCACCCTGAATAAGGTAAGCTACAGCATAGACTTTCGGCCAAGGTGACAGGTCGGAAGGGACAACGAAATGATTACCAGAGGATATAAGCAGACGTTGAAGACAAGAAGAAGGTTAAGCTTTTCTATCTCTAGTCTATCTCTACAATCCACTTCTCTTCCTAACTTGATCGTCGGAGAGTTCGCTGGGGGACTCCCCGTTCCCCATTAGACTTTTGTGCAGGTTCCCCCGTGGGCTTGGTCATTCGGACATAGGCTTAAGGAGCGTGAATCAGTCCGACCCGTCCTGTCATCACGAACTGTATCATCAGTCGGCGCCTTCTGTGGGAAACGCTTTGCTCCGCGCGCCAGTTGTGCTCATTGTCGCCGGAAACCATGTCCCAACAACCCTTTCTTGCTACCTATCAAAGTGTATGGTCACAACTAGATCCATGGCTTCTCACCATAACGCTGCCGACCACCAAGCCGACCCTTCCAATCAAAACAACCCACCACAATATTTCATCGAGCTTACCAACAGCATTAACCGCATGGCCGAGCAAAATCAAGCCCTGATAAATGCTCTACTCCAAAGAAACCTTCCTGTGCCTCCTCCACCACCTCTAGATATTCCCCCCAACCAAGAACGAGCCCCGAGCCATACTATCCTGCAGCCTAATCCACCCAACTTGGAAGGTTTGCAACCTCCTCCCCCAAATATAAATCCACCACTCCGACCCCCACATCCATCGGTCCTGGCACCAACCCCTGAAGGAGAGGCCAGTAGCGTCCAGCCCCTGTTGCCTTCCGGTGAAGACAACATTCCACTCTGGGACGCAGAACTCTGAGTCATGAAGCTCCAACTCCAAGGGGTCATGCAGAGTATCCAGCATAAACCTTCTACCACGGCCAACTCGCCATGCGTTGCCTTCATCCGGGATAAACCTCTACCCCCTAAGTTCAAAATACCCACCATCGACTCTTTTGACGGTATGACGGACTCAGTTGACCACTTGGAGACCTACTGGACCCTCATGATCCTCCATGCTTTCCCTGACGAAATCATGTGCCAGGCTTTTCCCGTGACGCTCAAGGGGTCAGCTCGACTTTGGTTTAATCAACTGCCAGCAAACTCTGTCTCCCCTTTCTAATACCTCAGTGACTCTTTCCTCAGCCATTTCATTGGAGCCCAGCGCTAGCGGCGTCCGGCAACCCAACTCCTCAACATCCGTCAGACCGAGGGGGAGTCGCTATGCAGTTTCGTTACCCGCTTCAACATTGAAGCCTTGCAAGTAGCGAAAAACGATGACAAGGTCATCCTTACGGCTTTCATGGCCGGTTTGCGGTCGTCTGACTTCCTTTTCTCTCTCTCCAAAAACCCCCCGACCTCCGTGGCCGCCCCACTCTCCAAAGCCCAAAAATACATGAATGCTGAAGATTCCCTAGCCGCCCAGCAAGATCCTATAACCAAAAATCCGATACCTAGAGAAAAGAGAAAAGATCCAGAAACCATAAATACCTAGTACAATAACCACACATCTCAGTACACTGACCGACCCTCCAAAACCGACCGGTCGGCCCCAGCCTGACCGCCCGGCCAGTTCGAACGGTACACCCTCCTAAACTCTCCCATGGAACAAGTCCTTCATCAAATCCAGCGGGACTACCCCCTAAAATGGCCCCAACCATCACGGACTCCTTCTAATCAGAAAGACCAGTCCAAATATTGTCTTTTTCACCAGGACCACGGCCATAATATCGAGGAGTGTGTTAACCTTAAAGATCAGGTCGAGGGCTTGATTCATCAAGGATGCCTCAGCCGATTCACGAATACTCCCCCTCAGCAGAGGCAGCGGACTGAACCCATCAGAAAGAACCGCCAGCGCACCCCTTCCAGACAGCCAGCACAACCTAACCAAGGTCATGATCGCCCTCCACAGCAACCTCGGGCACAAGGTAACCCCGCCCCACCTGTTGGAAAAATCAGAGTTATCTTCGGCGGGCTCGCCTGTGGAGGACCATCTCGGTCGGCTCAGCGGGCAGAACTCAGAGAAATAAGGCAGGGCTCAGACAAAGAAGTTGCCACGTTGGACCGACCCTCCAAACACCCTAAGCAGTGGACCGAGCCTATCACCTTTACGGACGCCGATTGCACAGGCATCCGTTATCCTCATGACGACCCTCTCGTCGTTTCCGCCCTCCTCTCCAATTACAAGGTCAGACGGGTTCTCGTCGACAACGGCAGTTCTTTAGACATTATCTTCCTCAATTGCTTCCGCCAGCTCAAGATTGGAGAAAAAAGTCTGTCTCCCCTCTAAATCCCTTTGGTCGGTTTCACTGGCGACCGGGTGACCTCTATCGGTTCCATCGATCTTCCAATCACAATTGGCGAGTACCCATGGCAGACCATAAAGTTGTTCACCTTTCTTGTTGTTGACTGCCCTTCTGCCTACAACATCATCCTTGGCCGCACTGCCCTAAATGCTTTCCAAGTTGTCACATCCACTCACCACCTTGCCATCAAGTTCCCCACCGATCTTGAGGTCGGAACAGTGAGGGGAGAGCAGACCGTGGTCAGAGAATGTTATGTCGCCTCACTCAGAGAAGTCAAGCTGAAGGAAGCCATGGTCATCGAGGGACTTGACGTCAGAGACGAGGACGAGCTGGTTAGGGGGGAACCAGTGGAAGAACTTGTCGAGGTCCTCGTCGATCCCACCAACCCGACCAAAACCGCCAAGATCGGCAGCCAATTGTCCCCCTAAGCCAAGGCCGACCTCACCGCCCTCCTGGTTGAACACAACGACGTGTTTGCCTGGACTCACTCCGATATGCCGGGTATTGATCCCACCTTCATCAGCCACCGTCTCGGAGTTGAGCCCCATTTTCGACCTATCCACCAGAAGCAGCGCATTTTTCACCCGGAACGCAATCACCTTATTGCTTCTGTAGTAGACAAGCTCCTTGAGGCACAATTTATCACTAATGTGGACTACCCCAGATGGCTGTCGAATGTGGTTCTGGTTCGTAAAAATAATGGTAAATGGCGACTCTGTGTCGACTACTCCGACTTGAACCGAGCTTGCCCCAAGGACAGCTACCCTTTCCCTCGCATGGATCTGCTGATTGACGCCACGGCCAGTCATCAAATGCTCAGTTTCATGGATGCCTTCTCTGGATACAACCAAATCTTGATGCACCCATCTGACCAGGAGCACACCTCCTTCATCACCGATCGATGCACCTACCATTACCGTGTGATGCCATTTGGGTTGAAAAATGCCGGGGCCACTCACTTACCAACTGTTGGTCAATGCTGTCTTTCATCATCAGATAGGCCGGAACATGGAAGTATATGTCGATGACATGCTGGTCAAAAGCAAGCTCTCCACCGATCACCTGGCCGACCTGCGAGAAACCTTCGCCACCCTCCGAAAGTACCAGATGAAGCTCAATCCGGAAAAATGTGTCTTCGGCGTAGGATCTGGGAAGTTTTTGGGATTCATGATCAGTTAGTGGGGCATCGAGGTTAACCTCGAAAAGATCAAGGCCTTAATCGAAATGCAGTCACCCAGGACGGTCAAGGAGGTTCAGAGGCTTACTGGCCGAGTGGCTGCCCTTAACCGTTTCATTTCCCGAGCAACGGATAAGTGCCTCCCCTTCTTCAAAGTCCTTCAGCAAACTTTTGAATGGACGACAGAATCTGAGGAGGCCTTTCAACAGTTGAAACAGTGCATGGCTAACCCCCTCCTACTTTCTCAAGCCATCACGGGCGAACCCCTCTTCCTCTATCTAGCCATGTCACATATTGCTGTCAGTGCAGCACTCGTCAGGAAAGACAACTCTGTCCAGCGACCGGTCTATTACATCAGTCGGGCTCTTCGGGGGGTGGAACAGAACTACCCATTGTTAGAAAAAATGTCCTTGGCCTTGGTCACCGCCTCTAGACGACTCTGCCCTTACTTCCAAGCCCATTCCACAGTGGTCCTCACTGACCAACCGTTGAAGAAGATAATGCAACAACCAGAGCTTTTCGGCAGACTTATGCAATGGTCGGTCGAACTTAGTCAGTCTGATATCTTCTACCAGCCTCGGACAGC